TTTTCTTTTCTTTTCTTTTCTTTTCTTTTCTTTTCTTTTCTTTTCTTTTTTCTTTCCTTCCTTCCTTCCTTCCTTTAAGATTTATTTATTTATTATGTACACAGTGTTCAGCCTCCATGTATGCCTGCAGGCCAGAAGAGGGCATCAGACCTGATTACAGATGGTTGTGACCCACCATGTGGGTTGCTGGGAATTGAACTCAGGACCTCCAGAAGAGCAGTCAGTGCTCTTAACCTCTGAGCCATCTCTCTAGCCCCTGCTTCTTCTTTTCTTTTTGGTTTTTTTGGAGACAGGGTTTCTCTGGAACTCGCTTTGTAGAGTAGACTAATCTTGAACTCAGAGAGATCCGCCTACCTCTGTCTCCTGAGTGCTGAGAGTTGGCATGTGCCACCACCGCCCAGTGGCAGTTTCATTAAAACAACTACCACCACCAAAATAAATAAAACAAAGCTGTTGACAGCAATATTATTTCTAAGGCCTGAACTAGAAACAAGCTAAAAGTCCAGCAGCTGGCGTATGCTGTATCTACACTAGAGAAGCACTCAACATCTAAACAGAACAAAACACCAATACATGTTCCAGTGCAGATGACTCTGGACTCTTACACTAAGGTGAAGGAAACCATCTGTAAGACTATTCATTTATGAGAAATTTTCAGCAAGAGCCTATCTATAATCTATATTGCCTATCCATATAAGAGCCTATCTATATAGCCTATCTATATCTATAGAGTTATTGGTTTCCTGGAGCTGAGGAAAAGGAAGTGAATTCACTTTAAAACTCCATCCACTCACTAGCTGACCACTGAACTGAGCAGACATGACAAAGATTACAGACTCAGAACTTTAAAGTGGGGGCATGAAGAGATGGCTCAGGGGTTAAGAGCACTGGCTATTCTTCCAGAGGTCTGAGTTCAATTGCCATCAACTACGTGGTGACTCACAACCATCTATAGTAGGATCTAATGCCCTCTTCTGGCCTGCAGGTGTACATGCAGAACACTCATACGTAAGATATAAATAAAATTCTTATTTAAAGTACAGGAAAATTAACTTTAAAAAAAAAAAAACAGCCACAGTGGGTATGGTGACTCACACCTTCCCATCATGCCAGCGCTTGGACAGACAAAGGCAGGAGAACCTCAGCAAGTGACAGGCCACTTGATCATCATAACGAGTCCCAGACCAGCCACACCTACTTAGCAGGTGTGTGTGTGTGTGTGTGTTGGGTGGGGAGATAAGCCCAGACAGGGATGGAAAACTCTGATTTCTGTAATTGTCACATTATTTTAAATATCCTCTTTTCAACAAAAACTTAGGGGCATGCAAAAAAGAAAAGAATCAGGAAACAGAGCACTCAGTAACTCAATAGCTATGTTTCCAAGAAGCCAACATTATCCTTGGTGAGCAACCTTTAAATCGGGTTACTTACTTAATTCTTTTTGGTTAGCATATAGTACTTGTATAATACAGTGGGTCTCATTTTGACATTCTTTTCTTTTCTGAGACGGGCTCCTACTTTGAAGTGCTGGCTGTCCTGAGACTCACTATATAGACCAGGCTGCAGTCTGCCCGCCTCTGCCTCCGGAGCACTGGGTTAAAGGAGAGTACCACGACACTCCTTTCTTAGTGAGTCTCTCTGTGTGGGAGGGTGCATGTGTGCCATGTGTGAGAGACCATCAGGAGTCGTGTTGTCAGCCTTGGCAGCAAGTGCTGCTACCTGCTGAGCCATCCTCACTGTCCCTTGTGGCTTTTCCCCAAAATGCTTATACATTTTATTTTGTATGTGCGTGCTCTGGGGAAAAAAGCCTGTCCAGGGCAATTGTGCAATTATGTCTCCTCCTCCCTGATTTATCACCACTCTCCAAAGTTCCCTGCTCAAGTTGATTTCCATCTTACAGCAGCAGCCTGTGTGCACTTCTCTCCTCTAACAAATCCTAGCTACATTTCAATTCAATGTACTTTATCTCTTCCTCAAACTTTTACTGTTTGGCCCACACTCCCTGAAGACACCACACAATACTTTCAATTTGCCTGGAGGGTGTGGGGGGGGGGCACATCCTATCTACATTCTATTTGGTATTTTATTTTTTCTTTTTTGGTTTTTCAAGACAAGGTTTCTAAGTGTAGTCCTGACGAGGCTGGCCTTGAATTCAGAGATCACCTGCATCTTGACTCCTGAGTACTGGGATTAAAGACATGTGCCACGACCACCTGGTGAGTTATTTGGGATTTTAAAGTCAGTGACATAGGGTCATGTTATTTTACAGAAAATAAAGGGAAGCTTGAGAAGGCTGTCTCCACAAAGGTTGTGGTGCTGGCCTTCAGTGCCAGCATTCAGGAAGCAAAGGCAGGCAGGCATCTCTCTGTGAGTTTGAGGCCAGCCTGGTCTGCACAGTGAGTTCTAGGACAGCTAGAACTATGTGAGAAACCATGTCTCAAAACAAATGAATCAAACAGAGACTGTTAAATCTCCAGGATATGGAATCATGGCGCTGTCAGCTCTGGTTCCACAAATCATGTAGGTTTTCAGAGATAACTTGTGGTGAAAACATTGGTTAGTGTGCTTCATTTCTGAGACAGGGTCTTATCAAGCAGCAGTGCTGGCCTGAACTTGCAGTGACGCTCCTGCCATGGCCTGCTGAGTGTGTACCACATGCCCAGCGCTATATGCACCTGATGGTCTCACAACTGCCTCATCTTGGATCTAGCTGGCAAGGACATTACCACATCAACTCTAATTGCTACCACAATAGTTTTTTTTTCTTTTTCAAATAAAGACTTATTTATTAATTATATATACAGGGTTCTTCCTGCATGTATGCCTTCAGGCCAGAAGAGGGCACCAGATCTCATTACTGATGGTTGTGGGCCGCCATGTGGTTGCTGGGAATTGAACTCAGGACCTCTGGAAGAGCAGTCAGTGCTCTTAACCTCTGAGTCATCTCTCCAGCCCCACAATAGTTTTCAATGACATGAAATATGTGGCATTATTAGCAAATCAAAGCAGTAAAAGCTATCAGAGAAATCCTGGAGTATACAGCTGTACCAGTATCAACTAGACAAAATGATTGCTGATGCGAGCCAGTGGCTTACACTATGATCTCAGTACTCTGAAGGCTAAGGCAGAAAGACCTGGAGCTTGAGACTAACCTGGGATACATACTGAGTTTGGTATTAGCCTGGGCTACCCATTGAGAACCTTGTTTCAAAAGACAAAAACAAAATATTTTTGAGGATTTTACTACTTTTTTCTGAATATATAATGTATCGCTATTTCCTGACTACTTTCCAGAAAGTCAGCCATCTGAAAAAAATAAAGTGTCACAAAACTGCTAAGTTAGGTTGGGCTTTGACAGCATGCGCCTTTAATCCCGGCCTTCCAGGAGACAGAGACAAGATGATCTCTGTGAGTTCAAGGCCAGCCTGGTCTACACATCAGGTTTCAGGACAGCAAGGACTACATAAAGGCCATGTCTCCAAAAACCTAATGAGCAACATTACTACTTAAATACCAAAGTCAGTACTAGAAATCAGCTGGGCTTTTTTCTCAATTTTTTTTTTACAGGTTGAGTGATGGACACTTTGCTCTACCTTCTACAGATCCCCTGACTTCCCATTCCTTTACCTAATATCCATCTCCTGGCCCCAAACCTCCCTTCATTTAAAGGAATCTTCATGAAAGCACAGCTCTGACTTTCAACATTTTGATGCATCTTCTCAGAGATAAATTTCAGTTCAATGATGAGTCCTTTAAACCAAATCATTAATACTACTTTTAGCATCTGCCATTGATTGGATGTGAAGTGTCCCCTTCGAAAAGGCTCATTTCATTGAAGAGCATATCCCCACTGCTGCTGCTGGTGGAGGTGGCTCGGGAAACTTCAGGAGGGTGTCTAGCAAGAAATGGGTCACCAGGGCATGTCCTTGAGGGAACACACCTTGTCCGGGACCCTTTCTCTTTCTGTTGCTTGTCTACCATGAGACGAGCACACTGTCCCATGCTCCTGAAGCCATGATACTTGAAAAGAATTATGGACTGAAACCTCTGAAATCATGAGGCAAAACAGTATTTCCTCTCTTTAAGTTATTCTCACAGTTGTTTTCATCACAGCCTATGGGAAACTAACAGTACCTCAGACTCAGCCTACCTTATCATTGCAATTACTAAGTACTCAATAAATGCTTTGGGGTTCTGCAAATAAGCTGAAAAGCAATATCCCCCTTTTCATTTTCAGGAAGTCTATTAGTATGATACACAGAAAAATCTTAACAACCTCTGTTAAAAATAGAACTATTCAAATGGCACTTGTGAGTCATAGCCGTCCCAGCTGGGCTCCCTCTGAAGCACTTACATTATTATTGTGAAGATACTCAATCGCTCGAAGAATCTGGAACAGGTACTTTCTCAGTCGCTTACTCTCTAGTCCGTGACAGTAATGTTGCAACTCATCTAAGACTGTGTGGTCAATAAATTCAAATACCAAATGAATTTTCTTTTTTTGTCTAAAAACTTCAATCAGATTGACCAGGTTTTCATGCCGAAATTGCTATTAACAAAAGAAACAGAGTTTAAAATAAAATTGTTCCAAGCAGTAATTCATTCAAACACCTATATAATTTTGAAAAAAAAAAGGAACAGTTTCAACTTCTTTTAACAGGAACATCTCAAGTGATCTGGCACATTCTTAATGTGTAAAATTTACTGTAAGTGGTTTCTTGTTCTCTAGAGAAAGGTGAGACATGTTGACAAGATAGCTTATTAAAACAATTTAGCACTGAAGTACCACAATACAATGAGAACTGTTTTGCTACCTTTTAATTTGGTTTGTACTTAACACATGAGATTTAAGAGGACTGCATCCAGCACTTGGAAGGCAGAGGCGGGTCCATCTCTGAGTTCAACGCTAGCCTAGTTTACACAGGGAGTTCCAGGCTAGGCAGAGTTACAGAGTGAGATGGTCTCAAAACAAAACATATAAAAATCAATAAATAAAATTAAATGGACATTGTTTCATATTTGCTAATTTTGTTGTTGTTGTTCTTTCTTTTGATTTTTAGAGACAAGGGCTTGCTATGTATCCCAGGCTAGACCAGAACTCACAACCTTTCTGTCTCATCTTCTGAAGTACTGGGTGCTGGGATTAAAGACATAAACCACCACATTTATCAGCAGATGTTTTGTTTTTTGGAAACTGAACTTGGGATCTTCTCACATGCTGAGCTGAGTATGTTTCAGATGAGCATGGGTTTTTACACTTTTACAATTTATGTATGTGTGCTGGTCTATACGCATACATGTGTATCATGTGCACTCCTGGTACCTAGAGGTCAGAAGAGGGTGATGTTGGATCCCCTGGAACTGGAGTTAAGGATGGTTGTGAATCACTATGTGGGTGCCAGGAAACAAACCTGGGTCTTCTGCAAGAATAAGTGCTCTTAGCCACTGAGCCATCTCTCCAGCCCACACGTATATTTCAACATCATTGAGCATACGCTATAAATTTATATAACTTATTCTCTCATTTTGGTCCTAAACTTTAGAGAATAAACCATAAGTTCTAGGAGTCATTTTTAATTCACTTGATAATCAAAAGAATATCAAAACATGTTTTAAAAATCTTCAAATATATGAAATAATTTATAACCATGGAAATAGCATAAATATGCAAATATTTCTGGTTTTTTAATTCATTGTTTATTCTACAATTCTACTAAGAAACAAAACACCCCAAAAAAGAACAAAAAGAAAAAACGGAAAAAAATTTTTAAAAATTAAAAAAAAATAAAGAGGGGCTGGTGAGATGGCTCAGTGGTTAAGAGCACTGACTGCTCCTCCAGAGGACCCGGGTTCAATTCCCAGCACCCACATGGCAGCTCGCAGCTGTCTGTAGCTCCAGTTCAAGAGAATCTGACATCATTATACCAATGTGCATGAAATAAAGTTAAATAAAGTTTTTTTTAAAAAAAATAAAGAAACGAAACACCTTTTGTCTCAGCTACTCAGGAGGTTGAGACAGGAAGATAAATCTGAGGCCAGCCTAGGCAATAAATACAGCAAGATCTTCATTTCATGCAAACAAAAATTAAATAAGTAATTTTAAAAATAAAAATTCTTTTTTGTGCTCCTATCAACCATGGTCAAAATAATTTTAAGGAGTTGGAAAGATGGCTTAGTGGGAAAATGCTTGATATGTACACGAGTACCTGAGTTCAATCCCTAGCAACCACAGATAAACCAGATATAGCAGCAGGTGCCTATAACTAGCTGGGTGAGGTAAAGTCGGGTGGATAGAGGGGCAGCTCACTGCTCAGCCATTTCAAGCTTAATTGATAGCTTCAAATTCAATGACAGATTCTGTTCCCAAAAATAAGGTAGAATGTGGTAAGAGGCAAACACACAACCCTCATCGCTGACATCCAGGTACACATGCACTTCAAACACATACATCAAATAAGTGCTTTTAAATAATCGCCATGTAGCAGCGTAGAAGACAAATGAAGCTTAATATTTAAGTAGCCTATTCTATTTTTTCAACTATTGTCCTTACTACAATCAATTTTGAAATATTTAACTTTTTAAATTAACAAAAATATTTATAAATTTGGATAAAATGAGATATTTTCATTAGTAGATTCACTAGTAAACTATAATTTACTTTAAAAATTTATTCATTTATTATGTATACAGTGTTGTGCCTATATGTCTGCCTGCAGGCCAGAAGAGGGCACCAGGTCTCAATATGGATGGTTGTGAGCCACCAGATGGCTACTGGGCTGAACTTCGGTCCTGTGGAAGGGCAGCGAGGGCTCCTAAGCGCTGAGCCACCTCTCCAGCCCCACAAACTACAAATTTTTTTTTTTAAGAAAATGCTTTTATTCTAGTGGTACAACGTTAAGTTTTCTACTTTCCTGTGACTAATAGAGACTAAAAATCCTTGAAACATGACTGGTAGAAATCCAGGTTCCTTTACTAAATTTTTGGTTTTTTGGAGACAGGGTTTCTCTGTAGCTTTGAAGCCTGTCCTGGAACTAGCTCTTGTAGACCAGGCTGGCCTCGAACTCAGAGATCCACCTGTCTCTGCCTCCCGAGTGCTGAGATTAAAGTGCGCCACCACCGCCCAGCTCCTTTCCTATTTTTGTTCTGTTTAGTAAGATGCTCTGGTGCGGTGTCACGGCATTGACACACTGGCAGCAATGAAGGGACAGTGAAGGGTGAGAATCCCATACTAAGTTAGTGAGAATAGTTTAAAGTGTCTTGCTTATGGTGTCACAGGCTTTTAATTCCAACATTCATAAGGCAGAAGGAAGCAGCTCTCTCTCTCTCTCTGTAAGTCAGAGGCTAGTCTGTTCTACATTGGAAGTTCCAGGGCAGCTAGGACTACATAGGGAGACCCTGTCTTAAAAAAACCAACAACAAAAGAAACAAAGTGTCTTAAAACAATTTGCATATACCAGACATGGTCCCACATACCTTCTTTAGTCTCAGCATTCAGTAGGCAGAGATAGGCAGATTAGTGAGTTTGAGACCAGCCTGGCCTACATAGCGAATTCCAAAACATCCAAGGATACATAATGAAACCCTGTCTCAAATAAATAAGTTATTTGCCTATAGTTATAACAACAAAACATGTTTTCAAGCTCATCTCCATGTTCTTGTCACTACTGGTTAGTTTTATAATATCACTAAATAGGGCTGGAGCTGGCACTGCACTCAGTTGGTGGACAAAGCCCTGAGTGCGACCCCCTAACAACACAGGTTTCCTGCGAGGCTAGATGGCTCAAAGGGTAAAGGCACTTGTCAAGCCTGACAACCAAGAGCCCTTCAACTTCTGCAAGTTACCCTGTGGCCTCCACACGTGTACTGTCAATGTACATCATGCACACACCAGAATCAAAGGCAAAATGTAATTTAAAAATTAAAAAAACAGGCATGATGTATGCAATGTCAGCACTATGGAGGTGAAGGCAGAAGGTTGAAAAGTTCAAAGCCATTATTTCCTAATTTGATTTCTCACTTAAGGAGCACATACTGCCTGACAGTGCTGTTTCATTTCATGAGGCAAGGACTGGTGTCTTCCATAAAAAAATCATAATGTCTTTACTAGTTTTTGCTTTTCCTTCATACGTTCTAGAAATATAGCAGTTCCAACTGTCCACAGGTGCTAGCATAATATTCTATTTAGATTTATATTATCTAATATAGACCAAAAAAATGCCGGGCAGTGGTGATGCATGCCTTTAATCCCAGCACTCAGGAGGCAGAGGCAGACAGATCTCTGTGAGTTTGAAACCAGCCTGGTCTACAAGAGCTAGTTCCAGGACAACCAGGCTGTTACACAGAGAAACCCTGTCTTGAAAAAGCAAAAAGAAAATGTTTCTTTTGTACCAACAAAGATGGGCAAGAGAAGCTGTACTCTTCATCACATGTAAAACATCTGGACCCCACTGTCAAGGTGAGAGCCCTGAAAGCACAGTAAGACAGAACATCTGTACCGGGAGCACTGCTCTCCATTGCAGTGTCTAGTTTTAGACCCAGTCCCCAAAGAATGGTCACACTCTGTTTTTACCTCCTCAGTTCTTCGCCTGTCACACATAAAGTGCCCTGATCTCTCCTGACACAGTGGCTGTTTGCAGAAGCCTAATAGTCTTTAGTTAAATATCCCTGTCATCTCCAAGTCAACAGTCCCAGACTGAACTAGGTCTCAAATTCTCTTCCACTTTGCATCAACTGCAGCATTCTCTGAACTTCAAGGACATCTCTGACTCCTTCTCCATGCCGTTTACACTGCTGGAGTCTAAAAAAGCCTCATGAGATTAGCAGGATTTCTGAATTAAATTCCCACGAGACCCCTTTCAGTCTTTTGATACATTCTACAGAGTACTGCTAGATTAATACCTAACAGATTCCTTTTTTAAAAAAAATTCTTTTGGTTTTTAAAGACAAGGTTTCTCTGTAGCTTTGGAGCCTGTCCTGGAACTAGCTCTTGTAGACTAGGTTGGTCTCAAACTCACAGAGATCTGCCTGCCTCTGCCTCCTAAGTATTGGGATTAAAGGCATGCACCATCACCACCTGGCTACCTAACAGGGATTCTTTACAATTAACTCAAACCTTCATTTTCCATCTCCTAAAACATCAGGTTTGTGTCTTTGAGTCAGGGTGTCACGTACCCCAAGCTGATTTGGAACTTAATCTATAACAGAGGATTGCACGCACTCAGTTTTATGTGGTTCTGGGGAACAAACCCAGGGCTTTGGACATGCTCAACCAGCACTCTACCAATGGAGCTACTCCAGATCAAGCCCCAAACCAAGTTTTGACTTCTTAGCCTAAAACGCTTTAAAATCTACTTCCAATTTACTGCACTAATTAGAATTCTAATTCTATACAAGAAACTCATAGACAAGTATCTGTTCTTTTCCCTTCCACTTTTGCTCTGTTTGCTCTTGTCTGTCTATGCTTATGTTATTCTGGAACTCAATGGTAGCTCCACTTCACCCAAATGCTACACAGCCTTCAAGGCCAAGAACATAGCGTGTTTTCTGCAAGAAACCTTCCCAGCCAAACAGAAGTTTGTGAAATTTAATAGTAACCATTAAAAAACACAAAACAACTGTGTTGTTATGTGGTTCCACACACACACAAGCCTGCAGGTGTCCCCCGGGAGCTGGAGGTACAGGCAGTTGTGGATTCCAGGAACTGACTCTAGTCCTCGCCAAGGGCAGCAAGTGCTCTGACTACAGAGCCATTCTCTGGCTCAGTGTGAGTCACTCTTATTAGGATTATCTTTTGTACACCTCCTGCCTAGTCATAAGTCATTAAGGAACAAATTTTTACTTCTTTCTAGTCTCAGCTTCTTCCACCGTCCTTTGTACAAAGCAGATGTCTTTAAGCATTATAACTGTGAGCTTCACAATATTATCATAATTATGTTATACACAAGAACGCAGATATTTATCACTAAAAATTACAAACTATAGGAAATGAAAATTTCTCTATGCAGTATATTGTTAATGGAAATATTCTTTCATACATTTTATCTTCATTCTACAACAATTTCTCGCTTGACTTACACAATCAAGGCAAAAGAAGCCCGGTGTTGTAACGTAGCCTGTAAATCTCAGCACGGGAAAAAAATAAGTGTTCCAGGCCAGTCTGGACTTCATAGCAAAATGAGTCCCAATGGGGGATATATATATATAATAAAAGGCAAAAGAAACAAACCTTTAGAAACTTTATTTCTCTCGTTGCAATTTTGTTGACAGATTTTTCTGGTTTCTCATAGAATATCTTAATGGCCACTATCCGCCCAGTATCCTTATGTTTGCATTTCATGACCGTTCCATAACTTCCCTCTCCCACTTTTCCAAGAGTTTCATACATCTCCATTTTCAAGCCTGGCTTCTGCTTCACAGAAATAAAGAAAATGTTGTAAGTTCACACTTAAAATTTTCAAGCTGGATAATGTATAGAGTCGATAACCCCTTACTTTCAAATATAAAAACAAAACTAGGAGAGCTGGCTACAGCACAGCCTGTTCGTGGAAACTCTTAGGTTGTCAGAGAAACGCCAACTTTCACCAGAACACAGGGGTGTCCTGCATTAATCTAGCATTTTGGGACTAAGGAAGGTCTGATTCGCGCTTAATTCAGGAATCCTTTTAGAATACGTGATTTAGAAAACAAGTTCCCTTTTCAAAAAACTGCAACTACGATGGAAGGCGGGTTAAAAAATCCCTCTAACAAACACTGCGGGTTTCTTATGACCAACTACGGTCCACAAGCGTGGGAACCCCCACCTCGGTACCGCATTCGCCTACGCGGTCCGCCCTCTCCTGAAACCCATAGTCTAAGCAGCCACGACCCGGGTCACGCCTCCCGCCAGGCTGTCCACCTCGTCCTGAGAGCCGCCGCCGACTCAGCCCATCCTGTAGTCCCGCAGGCCCGGCTCCGCGAAGTCCCCCAGCCGGCTGCGGGACACCACGCCTCCTCTCCCAGCTGACCTAGCCAGCTCTGGGCGGCCCGACGTCCTGGCAACGGGGTGGGGGCGGGGCCGGCGTTCGAACAGCACTACGCAAGACTGGAAATCGCTGGGGTCCCGACCCGGAAGGGAAAGTGACACGAAGCGGAAGCTAGATGGTGCGGCAGGCCCCGCGTGCTTGCAGAATGGGGAAAGGCGGTTTTTGTCGCAGATTGAATGCCCTCGAGGACTCTTTCTGCCAGGGAAAAGGGCATTTTGTCGCCAGGGTGACTGGTCACCTGCTTGTGCCCCGTCCTAAGAGGCTGATTATCATTAAAAACAACTGATCCAAGGAAGCCTTGTGTGACTAGTTTGCCAGTGCTATATTAATATTCCATACACCTGATTTCGACTTCAAAGTCGACATTGATCCTTAAACAGGGACAAGATGGTTCTTAGGCAGAGGGCATAGCTCAGTGGTAAGCCATAAACTCAGCATTCATTACACCCCTGACTTATTTCTAACTGAGCATTCACTGCACCCCTAACTTATTTCTAATGTTATTTCTAATGTTCTTTAAGATTCTCGATATTCCTTCGTGTTTTCCAACTACTGGTACTCCTTTTTTTATTTGTTTTGAGGCAGGGTCTACTTTGTAGCTCTGGCTGGCCTGGGACTCACCTGTAGTCCAGGCTGTCCTTGAACTCCCAAGAGTTCATCTGTCTGCTTTGAGTGCTGTGCTTAAAGGCCTGTGCCTTTAAAGGACCTCGCAGTCCTTTTACAAAGTGTTCTCACTACATGTGAAATGCTAAACTGAGTGATATACAAGGACACTTCGGAATGTACATTTAATAACCCGAAGAGGTGTCTGAAGGGCTCCACCTCTAAAGATCCTGATTCAACTGGAATAGTAGTAAAGCTAGTTCAATGAGATAGCTCAGGAGAAAGGCTATGAAGCTGACGACTTGTCCTCTGGCCTACACACAAAAATAAATGAATGTACACAAGAAGAGAGTTGAGGAGTGTACGTAAAAAAGAAACTAGTCTGCTTATTTAAAAACAAGTTAGAGCATCTCCTCCTGTCTATCCAGTTAGGGCTGGATTTCGGAGCTTGAGAGTAAGGAGGGATGGGTACCTGGTTTGGGTTTGTCATGTGTCTGTATCATCGACATCCTCATCGGTCTGTCCTACCCCACACAAATAAAAATGTCAGCCATGTGGCAGTGGTAGCGTAAGCCTTTAATACCAGTGCTCAGGGATGGGGAGGCAGAGGCATATCTCTGTGTTCGAGGCCAGCCTGGTCTACAGAGCGAGTTCCAGGGCAGCCAGGGCAGTTGCACAGAGAAACCTTCTCTTGAAAAAAACAAACAAAATGTCATAGTTAAGCCTTTCACCACTACGATACCTGCTGTATGTTAATTTACTATTTTTATGAACTAAATATTTGCAAAGAGTAAAGCATGAACCAGACTGAGTTCCTGGCCTCACTTAGCTCACAAATAAAGCTGCCAAGTCACTGGTACCCATTCTAATCCCAGTGCTCTGGGGAGAGGCAGAGCTCTATTGAGACTGAGGACAGCCTTGTTTACATAGCAAGTTCCAGATCAGCCTGAGCTACACATACCCTGTTTTTAAAAACAAAAGCTAAGTTCTAAGACCATAGTTGTAAGTGTACAGCAAGCAGCCTGACCAAGAAATTGTGTGGGGTTTGTTAATATTCTGCTCTCTAATACTTTAGGAAGTACATGGAATTTGTCAAAACATTTCATTTGGAAAAAAATCAAACTATCTCATCCATTTCTAAGTTAAATTACTAGATAAGCGACAGAATGAGATTTTTTTTAAAAAAATAATCTCTTTAGCATTTCACATATTTATCTGCCTTTGTTCTTAACCATGAGGAATATTAGGAATAGTATGGCTGGATGGCAAATTAAAAAAAAAAAAAGACAAGGAAAGGCAATACTCCTGTTACCTATGCCAGCTACTCAAAGGGAGTTGAAGGCCCACCCAGAGACCCTAAGGGGCCGGTCTCACTATTCTTTCCAGAGACAGTAACCCTCCATGCAGCTCAAGGCAGCGTGGAATTTGGAGTCCTCCTGTCCCCACCTATTTAGTGCTGAGACTACATCTGTGCACTGTCACATCCTGCTCAATAAAAAGTTAAAGGCCTTTAATCCCAGCACTCGGGAGACAGAGGCAGGCGGATCTCTGTAAGTTTGAGGCCAGCCTGGTTTACAGAATGAGTTCCAGCACAGGCTTCAAAGCTACACCGAGAAACCATGTCTTGAAAAACAAAACAAAACAAAAGGATATAAGGCCCTGGGGTTCTATCATATACCTCAAAAAGGAGAAAAAAAAAGTTAAGAAGTATTTAACTTTTAGCTGAGTCACTCTGCGAGTACGGAGCAGCGGCTAGGGAGACTTAGATCTACCTAACAAACCTCAAGATTACTTTTCTGGGAGAAGAGGGGATGGGGATAGGAGAATGAGACTGTCTCAGGCGGCCCAGGGTGGCCGCCATTTCACTGTCACTGAGGCTTACCTACCCTTCAACTCCTGATCCTTTCCACTACCTGAATGGTGGGATTAGCAGAATGCACCAAGCCATCGGGTTCTCAAGGTTCCTTTAAACCAAGAGAATTCAGAGTTTGAAGAGAGGAGGGGTAAGGACAGTGGGAAGCGTAAAGCTTTCCTGGTTTCCTGAAAACGTGGGCACGAGCGGAGCAGTGGATTTTCATTCCCTTCCTCCTGTCTAGAACTAAGAATTCCGCGTCTTCTAAAATGTTCTGTACCCCTGACTAACAAATCCTCATAACTGGAGTTGGAAGCTGAGGGTGTGTATTCCATGACTCGGCAAAGGAGGACAGGGTCAAGGCTTCTGAGCCTGCTGCACATCAGCACCCACAACAGGGCACTTCCGGTCCTCTTGTACCCTCCTTGCAATTATCCAAAGCCTGTAATGAGCTATAATGAGTTATCTCAGACTCAAGAAATACCTCCCACTCACGTCTGCACCATCTCTCTCCCCCATCTGAATCACTTCTGTACGTTTCTTTGACAACCAGCAGCCCATTGATATGCTCTAAAATCACACCTCCACATTTCTTGAAAAATACAATTGTGCCTCAAACACAGGCAAACTCAGATTCCAATTTCTTTAGCTCTATGCCGTCTTTAGAGACTTGGACAAT